AAAAATTATTCTACTGCACATGCTTTAATCCAATTGTATGACAAGATCTCAAATGCACTTGATAATAAAAGGGTAACTTTAGGCCTATTCATTGACTTATCTAAGGCCTTTGATACAGTAAATCATGAAATTTTGCTCGACAAATTAGAACATTATGGAGTACGTGGTATTGCTTTACAATGGTTTAAAAGTTATCTATCTTGTCGAAAACAATTTGTGCAATATAATGGTTACAACTCTTCATCATTAGATATCACTTGCGGAGTCCCTCAGGGATCTATCTTAGGTCCCCTGTTATTCTTAGTATATATAAATGATCTATGTAATGTGTCAAAGGTCTTAGAGCTGATACTATTTGCTGATGACACTAATATCTTCTATTCGCATACTGATGCTTCCTATCTTATGGAAGTTGTAAATTTAGAATTGAAAAAGATAACGTGTTGGTTTTATACAAATAAGCTATCTATTAATGTTAAGAAATCTAATTTTATCATATTCAGACCGAGACAAAACAGGCAAACACTTGATTTAGCTTTTAATATTAGTAATTATTTGATTGATCGTGTTAAGGAAGCTACTTTTCTTGGTGTAATTTTGGATGAACATTTAACATGGAAATCACATATACATAATGTTGCTCGGAAAGTGTCTAAAGCCATAGGTATAATTTATAAATCAAGTTTTTGCCTTAATAATTCCTCCTTACGGATGCTGTATTTTAGCCTTATCTATCCATACTTATTCTACTGCGTGAGCGTCTGGGCATCGACCTACCCATCAAACCTCAGAAGATTAATCACTTCAAAAACGGGTCGTAAGAATAATGTCGAGGAGTGCTTTCGATGCTCACACTGACCCCTTATTTAAAAATTTAAAAATTCTGAATCTTGAGAATATCTACAAACTTCAAATAGGAAAATTTATGTATCAATACAGATCTGGCTTACTTCCTTATAGCTTCAATAACATGTTTTTGGTGACATGCCAGGTGCATTCTTATGGCACTAGAAGTTCAGAGCATTTTTATTTACCACAATGCAGGACTAATATTAGAAAATTCTCCATCAGTTTCCAAGGTCCTAAATTTTTTAACTCTCTTAGTTTTGAAATTCGAAATGCAACAAGTACCGCTTCCTTTTGCTGTAAGCTGAAAGCATTCCTCTTATCATAAATAGTAATTTATATATATATATGTATTTTTATTTTTATTTTTTATTATTATTTTTTTTCTTCCTTTACTCTTTTATTTTCTTTCGTGTTTTTTTTTTTGTCATTTTGCTTTTTTTAGCCTAGAACTATGATTAGTACGACTATCTAATATACTTATTTTAAGATTTACTGTAGCTCTGCCATTGATTTCCCCATGTGTAATTATGATGATATTTTGTTCTAATTATCTAACTGAGGGAGCCCATTCCTTATAAGCCCGGTGGCCTCTCTTGGGCTTCCTCGTCATGAGAGTTTAAGTAATTAGATTTATTTTTTCATTTGTACATTTTTTGGCAAACAAACAATAAACAATAAACAAGCTTACAAAAGGCCCTGGGTGCTATTTACCTCTTGGGCCTAGCATTTTTTAGGTGACACGCTTATTAAGCTGCCCATCCAACCAGCTATTTTAGCTTTGTTTATTGCTCATCTGTGCTCTTTGAAATACCCAGCGTCATCCATTACATCTTATGTTTCTGCCACTAGTTACGTACATCAATTAGCTGCAGTGGATGATACCCCCAAAGCAGCCATTATATTTCAGCTCCTTATGGGCTATAGAAAGTTAGCTCCCACTAGCGATATTCATTTACAGATTACGGTACCAAGCATAAACAAGCCATTAGAATCGTTTCAACACACAGTCTCATCAGCATATCAAATACATTTGCACCCAGCTACGTGTGCCATTTCATTTTTTGCATTTCTGCAAATAGGAGAAATAACAGCAACCTCAGGTGAGAGCACTAATCTGGCTTGGAAGGCTAGTCTGGTAGATGGAAGAGTGTCTTGCTTTCAGGGCCCAAAACAAACTCTGATTTATACAATACGATCACACAGTAAGAGCAGCGTCTTGCACTAAGCTACGTAAAGTTGCAAAGGCTATCCTGAAACAGGCCTGCCTGAAATACAAGCTAGTGGCTCTGTTATCCGTGGGTATATTCCTCCAAATAACACATGGTCTTTTTCACAGTAATAAAGAGATGGACATTGTCAGCAAGTGGACCACCTCATCCCTGTAAGTAGAGGTGCAACAAGGTTGATCAATAATTGTCCAGTTAAGGTTTAATTGGGTTATTTGATGGTATTTAGAACAGCTTGTGCAAAGACCAGTTGAAATTGTTCCACTCTCATTTGAACTACAGTTTTATTGCCAAGTCTTTTTCCCCAAATTTTTGGTACTGGAATACAATGTCTTGCTGAATACTAACAAGTCAAGAAGGGATCACTTGCTGAAATTCAAGATTGATCACATGATGAAAAAGAAACTGGTACTGAAATTCAACCCTGGGTTACCACTAATCGGCCTTTAAACAACCAGGCGTGGGAGTTTTCTAAACCCATCCACTCCTAAAAGTACGTAATGTGAAAAACTGGACAAAAATCTGCTTAAGTTTCATAACATCAAAGAGAAAAAATGAACAGTACTAGTGAGGAGGTTTTGTTTAAACAGTATAACCATGGGGTTTCATCCACAGACTCAATAATTTGACCAACGCTCTCTCTGTTTCAGTGAATGTAAATGTGCCTTCCATGAGTCAGTTAAACTCGCAAGAACAAACCCGAAAGTTTTTTTGTATTGGAGGCCTGTATTGGAGGCCTGTATTGACTGTTTATTAAAGAAACTCATTGCAGCAACACATTAATAATAATATTTATAGAGGGAGACCAACTCGCCGAGGCGGTTTTCAGTGGGGCCCTCATGCGTTAATTTAACTAATCAATCAATTATTGTGAAAAAACTAAAATATATTTACAAATAGGAAAAAACAACAACAACAAAAAAAACACTTGCATAAATTACATTACATAACAACTAAAAAACTACAGTAATAAAATAACAAAACATTAAAATACATGCTCTAAAAAAAGGTCACAATAGGCGAACAGTAAGATTTAAAATGTTTAAGGATTGAAATTGTAAAAGCATTATAAGGTAGACATCTCATGTTTTCTGGAAAGGAATTCCAGTCTGTCAATGCACTATTAAAGGATCTGAGTAGACCCCATCATTCGCCGGAGAAATGTTCTTCCTGTCCCGGCACAACTACTGAGCAGGTAAAATTTAACCACACTATTAGAGATTTCATGTCTTTTAGAGTAACTTTCTTGCACTTTAGGAAGTCTTGTAACAAGTTAGCACATTTGTCTATCTTATCTTGTGGAAGCATTTCTTCCAATTTGCAAGTATCAAGTTTGATACCCGCTAAAAAAAGAACTGTACTTGGACCAACTGTCTTTTCAGGCACCATGGGAATCCCTGAAGTGCACAGCTTTTTACGAACGAGAAAGTTTAGTTGAACACGTAACTGTATCACGCTCAGTGATGAGAAAATCGTCTAAAATATGTAAAATACCTGGAATTGACAATTTGTAACGTGCAATCATTCTAACGAGGAGCTAAATGCTTCAAATATCTCACATGAGCTGGAACAGCCCATTGGCAAGCACTTGTCATAATAAAATTGGTCTTGCCAAGAAATACCAAGCAAGTCGTAATCATTTGGGTTAACCAGGATCAATTGAAAGGCATTTTTGACATCTCTTTTTGCAAGTGCACAGCCCCTGCCTGTGTGCCTAATAGTCCTAACAGCATCATTGATTGATGTGTAGCGTTTTGAAGATGATCCCGACTGGTCAGATCTGGAATGGAGACTGGCAATGGGATCAATGATGTCGTTAGTTCTTGAGTTCCCTCTGCAGTGGTGGAATTACCCATGATGGGTTACCTTTCAAGTTTGACTGGATGAGTACAGTCTGCAAGAAGGGGTGCTTGGACAGGGCCTTTGTTTGCAGGAACATGTCGTGAAGTGAAATAATGGGTGGAACTAGACCATTTAGCACTAATGCTGGTGGTTTTGCCTTGTGTAGCACTCGTTCCTTTACTCAGGCATTGTTTTCCATGAGTCATCATTCTGACGGAACCGAGTAGTGAACTAAAAGTAACAAGACAAAACCTTTCGAACGACGAAAAAACTGGCCCTGTTAAACAAACGTTGCCAATGGGGAATAAAGGAGCTAGCAACAATAGGCAAAGGGGGTGGAATGGGATAGCGGACCAACAAAGCTGATCCCCAGGTTGTTCACTTAAACAGAGATAAACGTGTTTAATCAGGCAAACACATCGGCAACATGTCTGGCAAACCCAATAAAATGAGATGCCGCAAGGAACATGCTAAAAGTGCCAGAAATAAGGAATACATACCTTAGAGCATATCAGTATAAACTCAAAACAGCATACTAAAACCAATAAAGGTGAATGCCTGTGCGATCGGATGTGTTCAAACCAGTCAGGTCCTCACAGCTAGGGAAAACAGTTTCTTTAATGCAAACAAAATTGCCCCTCTGTAACTACGATATGATGGATAATTGCTCCAGTCGTTTAAATGAATGGCCTCCCGCAGTAACATGGGGATGCTTGGTCTTTGGAGACCCTTGTACCTTGTAAGACAAAACCTTTCGAATGACGAAAAAACTGGCCCTGTTAAACAAACGTTACCAATGCGGAATAAGGGAGCTAGCAACAATAGGCAAAGGGGGTGGAATGGGATAGCGGACCAACAAAGCTGATCCCCAGGTTGTTCACTTAAACAGAGATAAACGTGTTTAATCAGGCAAACAAATCGGCAACATGTCTGGCAAACCCAATAAAATGAGATGCCGCAATGAACATGCTAAAAGTGCCAGAAATAAGGAATACATACCTTAGACACATCAATATAAACTCAAAACAGCATACAAAAACCAATAAGGGTGAATGCCTGTGTGATCGAAAGTGTTCAAACCAGTCAGCTCCTCTGAGCTAGGGAAAACAGTTTCTTTAATGCAAACAAAATTGCCCCTCTGTAACTACGATATAGGGCATAATTGCCCCAGTCGTTTAAATGAATGGCCTCCCGCAGTAACATGGGGATGCTTGGTCTTTGGAGACCCTTGTAGTTCCAAAACTCGGCTTGAAACGGGCTCCAAGACAACTTTAAGGTAGTCGTTCAAGACCTGAACACCCAAATTGTAGTTGGGATGTTGCAAACAGGCTGTCGCTCTATTAAGAATTTGGCAAACCACCACAAAATTCACAGTAAACTGCCCGCGCAAAATGCAGACAAAGTCCATGATGTTTGAGCCAATAGTTTCTGGGTGTTGCCTGGCCTCACAAAAAAACATGACAACCTATCTCTAAAATAATTACACGAGGCTTAAAGGCTCTGACGCGCCCTAGATCGAAGGAGCAAAGTTTAGATACACTTCTTCCCCCAATCCCAGAAAAACAGATGTCTACTGACGACAAATTCAGATTAGCTACTGTCCCTTTGTCACAGTGCTGATTTAGGAAATAATTAAGAGAAGTAAAGTCACAGAGGCCACAGGTCTAGAAAAAGAGGGCATTTATCCATTCACATATTGGGGAACCAGAGCCTTGCAGTACTAGTAAATCAATTTGCTTTCAAAATTGTGAATTGTGCATGCCATGCAACCAAGGCATTTTATACATAGCATTAAGAAAACAGAAGTGTACACATGTTTTTACCAAAGAGATGGACTGTGTTAATACAAAAGTAAACTCAAACACATAATTCATTGTGGCAAATGTCATGTATTTACCATTATTTTTCGCTTAAATATTGCAACTACCTTTTTTTCTCTGTGTTTTTCTTTGGCCACCTTGGTGAGGGGGTGGGGCACAAAAACTTATTGTACCCCCACGTGCCACAGTGGTGGCATCTCAGTTTTTTTTCAGATGTTCATCTGCAAGAAATAAAGTAGTTTGGTTCCTCGTAAAAATTGGTTTATGTGTCGCTTATAGCACTTACAATATAAAGGTGACTGTACATACGGTATCGTACAGCTGACCTAACCTTCTTGCTGGGTGGGGCCAATTGGGGTCATATGGCCCCACCCTTCGCACTTGTAGCATTCTGTGACGAGATGCAAATTATAGGATGTTATTAGTTTTTAACGTTTGTTAGTAAATAAATGAGCATAGTGTCTTAGTTTTACTGGTTTGAGATATGAAAGCTGTAGTTGAAGTCGGTCTTAAAAAACTCGGCTGCTCCTTTGTTTTTCAACCCACTTCTTGCTGTCTAGATATCGGACGAAACACTTCGTGTCATTTTTGATATAGCTTTGCAAATGAATGGTAATGCTTGGAAACATTTAAGATAAAGCTCGCAAAATGTTATGGTAATTCCAAACCACCATCACGGTAGTGATTTTCCTTGTTTTCCCTCATGAACGAGTAATGAGTTTGAGAAAGTTACTTTAACATTATGATGTTGTCTGGGAAAGATGTCCTCTAATCACCTGCTGCATTTGCAGAAAGTCCATGTAATGTTTACTCGTACAGTAACTGTTTTGTTTTAACATCTGTTTTGTATTGGTGTAGTAAATACGTAGGCAGTTTCAATGGGCAGTTTAATAGTTGTTTTGACATTTGCTGTTAAACATAACTGAAATGTTTTCTGTGTGGAGAATGCTTTTCAGTGGGATCATTTCTTGTCCAGACTTGTTTTTGTTTGGCCATGTTTTCAAAACAGCAGAAATTGGTTCCTGTTACATTAAACAAAGATACATCTTCAAGAAATAAGAACAATGCACGATGTACTCACTAATTCTTTTTCCTTTCTCAGTAGCTGTTGTCTCTGCAAAATTATAAAAGTATTGTGTAATTTTATTACGAGTCAACTGACCAGGCACCGCAAAAAAGTTGTAGTAAATTGCACTTATAATTATTGAACATACTGTAAATTTAAGACTAATCAGATAATTGATTATTAGGGCTATGATTGAATGCTCACTTGGAGGATTGTCATATCCTTCTGCTGGAGGATTGAACACTGCAAAGGAAAATGAAAGACCTTGTTTATAAAAGTTCCTAATCAACTGTAGTAATCAATCAGTACACTATAAACCTAGCAACACAATTAACTCCAGTGGGAGATTACAACAACAACAGGTATGGGGTAGAGGAAAGGGCCAGAAAGCAGGCCCTCCTATTTATTGAAAACAAAACTGCCCAAGAGAGGAACGACCTACCCCATACCAATAGAAAAGTATGAAAAGTAAATAAGCAATCAAACAAATGAGGCTAGTTGGCGAATAGCATACATTCTATACTTAATGGGTATGTGAATGTAAGACTTGAAGGCATCAGATCGCCAGTCTCCTAGTCTTTTAATAAACTCCTCAGGAATGTTAGCTTGAAAGGTGGCACCCCCTGAACGAAGGCTGTGACCACTGATGCGGGATGGGTCTAAACCTGCTGTGGAAGCCACTGATTTAAGAAGGCTGTCGAACTTGGCATATGTGAATGGTATTAGGCCCCTCCTTGAGGGTGCTGGCAAGACGAAGGCTGGACCAGACAGGGTGGCTGGCACAAGCTTGAAGGCATGCTGTAGTGCAGAATAGGGACACTGTGGGTGACCTGGGATGAGAGGTAGTGGAACAGTCGGTTGATGACAATGGCGCAGCCTGGGTAGAACACAATGTCACTTCGCCTAAGATGCTTTAAAGGGTTGAACTGGGCAACACCCTTCAACAACATATTAGCTTTGCGAAGAAGTCCAAAGAAGCCTGTTAAGCAGACAGCCCAAAGGGTGGCATGGACTGGGTCTGTCAAGTTCAAATGTGCCTTGATAGCCAAAAGCATTGCAGGGGTCATGGGTTGTTTCTGTGAGACTGTGCAGCCTTTGCAGTGACGTATACCATGCAAGGTTGTTGCTAAGTGGAAGTTATTCTTGGTAGGGTCTTCCAGGCCATGTTCCAAATGGAGAATACCGACAATGTTAAGATAAGCTGGAATAGAGGAAGGAGACAAAGAGCGTGCCAAGAAAGCTGCGTAGCGGCTAAGTGTGATGGTAGACGTTGGAAGTGGCTGGTACCCATAATATACGCAAAAAGTAAGATAGGCTCGCAGTTAACTTTTGTAATTGGCCTTGGTGGAAGTTGCACAGGCTTGTTTTCGAGACTTAAGAACCTCCATGTCTAATCGTGACTGATCGACTGGATCTGAGGAAAGCAAGCAACAAAGGTGACGTGAGACAACAAGTCTTCAGTAGAGGAAGAGGACCGTGAAAGCCTGCATGAAGTGTGTGTCGGTGGCATGTTTCATCAAGTCTAGAGATACTGTCAGCAATAACATTGGCTGAGCCAGGGATGTGCTCAACAGTTAGTTGGATAGCATAGTACTCTGACAACCAGAAGAGCTCTCGGAGCCAATCCATCATGATAGGACAGGGGGTGGTTCCTTTGTTTACAATTGGTGCAGCAACTTCACTATCTGACTTGACTACAACCCTTTGTCCTGACCAGGATGGGGCCCACCATTTGGTTGTCTGGAGAACCATGAAGGTTTCTTTGTAGTTGACATGCAGGGGGCAGATATCTGGGAAATCTAGTGCTCAGTTAACGTATAGCCAATCATTGTGCCAACAAGAGCCACCACGTGCAGGGAAGCATCAGTATAGGCTAGCGCAGATGTCATAGGTAGCTCGTTGGGGAATAGGGATCTGCAGTTGAAAACAGGAAGAAGGCATGCCCACCAATGAAGGTCTGCTCTTGCTTGGGTATTAAGGGGAGCCGTAGTACACAATTCACTGTATCCATTTCGACTCCCAGAAAGCACAGGGATTGGCTGGTTTGAACAACCTTTGACCAGTTTATTGTGAAACCAAGTGACTGAAGCAAATTGACGAGGGTGTCCACAGCGATTTGACACTGCTGCTGACTGGGTTCTATGATGAGGAAATTATCCAAATATGCAAGCACTGTGAAACCTTGTCGGGCCATCATTCTACAAACTGATTGTGTAAGGCGGTGGAAAACCATAGGAGAGGTTCGAGCACCAAAGGGAAGGCGTTTATCAAACAGGAAATTGATGTCTGTAGTACCTTGAAAAAGCCAAGACATGCCAGTGACTTTCCAGCTGCTGGGGTGAGTACCAACACTTCGATAAGCATGTTTTAAATCAATCTTGGCCAACCAAAAACCTGGTTTGGCTTTGCATGCTGCCTCATCAACTGTAGTATATTTGTAGTGGTCAAGGTCCATGTAGGAGTTTGCACTCATTGTAAGCGCTCGACTGCAATCCATAATCAGTCTCAACTCTGAAGAGTCCCTTTTGGGTACAGCTCCAATAGCATTAACAATGATGGGGGGTGTGTTTGATGATCTAAAATGGCCTAGTGAGAGGCCGTTACATAGTTGCTCTTTAATCTGCTCTTTGGCCCCTGGCCTGAGCGCTGATCTATTGTTCTTTGTGAAAGCTGGTAAAACAGTAGTAACTCGCGGAATCAAGTCAAACCCTTCTCGTACACCATGGAGAATAAAGTCTCTGTCCAAATCATTAGCTAGTTCCTTTGCCCATATCTCATATTTTAAGTCTGGAAATACAGGCTGCATCGGGCTACTGCGCAAAACATGAGGTCCCTGCTGATCGGTTGGAGTCAGTAACACACTCTGCTGTTTCTAAACTAACGTATGGGTATTGCCCTGCTATAGGTGATGCAGTCGAGCTATCCACTGCAAGTGGCTCCACTGAAGAATTGAGAAATAGCTCTGCAGGCGAGTGTGTGTTCAGGCTTGGGGGTAGTGAGTAGCTGTGTGCTTCATTGGGGGTGATCCCCCAAACACTGTGGCTTTATACAAGCATGGTCATACTTGCAAGCTGTGCCATAGCTGCAGCCTTGTCGTCGTTGGAAGTCATAGCACACCTGCTTGCCTGTGGTCGAGTTGATAGTTGGCGTTGATCTACCTGGAGGACGGTTTGGTTGTTTGGTTGAGCCAGGCTGGTTGGTGTCAGGCTTGTGGAGGGATTGCTGGTAGATAAACTGACTCGCTGTACCCCATTTACAACCAGTGGCGAATTGCATTTATCGATAAAGGTCATCATAGTGGACAACATGGGCTATCGGGTAAATCTTGGCCAGCTCTGAGACTTTGGTGCTATATGATATGTAATTCATAATGTCTGACATAGTTGACAAGGCACCTTCTTTGACAAGTGTGTGCATGATCCTGAAGTTTGCTGCTGACCATTGTGGAAAGGTGATGTTGTTGAACGGGGGCTTTTTCTCATGGTTAGTCTTTAATGTGATTTGAGTGCCACCAGAAGCGCCAAGCACGGTCTCCCGGTCCTCTTCCAGAACCACTGGGAGGGAACTGACAAAATCTGGAATTAGCAGGGGACGCTTACCCCCTTTGGGGGTTCCAGTAGTTTCTGTGCTGGATCCGCCAATTCGCCAGAAAGACCAAAAGAATTGGGTCCCCTAGTGACTCTTCTAAGGCTTTAAGCTCCTCCTG